CTGTGATTTAGACTGGTATTCCAGCTAATACAAGTTTGTTAATTTAAATGGGTAAGTATAGCAATATAAAGAGAATAGAATAAGCTTTGTTGTACAATAGTTTAGTACATCATAAATAAATATAATAGTAGGTATATCGAGTTATTGACCATCTACAAATGGCAGCCTTATCACTAAAAAGGAATTATTAGATTGTAGATAGATCAATTCATGGTCAGTTTCAGTGTGAGAAAAAAATTAAAAGAATCATTCATTTAAATTATTTATACAGCAAAACAACATTTAATATTGATAAAAAGGAAATAACACAGCAGTATTGATAATAATGCCTACTTATATAAATACACGTTAGTACATAAATAATCATCAAAACATATAGGTACACATTATATAATATAACTAAATACATACATACATAAATACATAACAACTACATTTCCATTACAACGGAATACAACAGATGGAATATGTTTTGTAATAAATTAAGATAAGGAAATATATATTTGTCTGTCTGTCTGTGGCATCATAGCTCCCGAACGGATGGACCAATTTCGATACGGCTTTTTTGTTCAAAAAGCCGATGTGATCGAGATGGTTCTTAGCTATATATTTTGAAGATCATTAGCTCATTTCCTAGGTGATGAAGGGATCTCATTAAAATCCACAGGTTCGATTGATCTTAAATTTGGTATACTGTTACTTTGAGAGTATTTCCCTGATGATAATCTGGAACTTGCTGCTGCATCAAGTAGTCTGCGGGATAGCCAACTCCTCAGAATATTACAGCATTTATAGCATGTTTGGGCTTTATACTGTTTTTTTTTGTGTCGGGTTGTTTTAACTTAGGATAGGCAAAGTTTTGGCGCGTTTCAAAGACATTGGCAAAGCATTCCCTAGTCGGACAGTTTGTACAGTAAACGATTTATCGTAGAACGTCGTACAGTGAATTGGTACTGCCAGTTTCAAAGATTCAGATGACCTCGAAGATCAGGAATGTGTGTCACGGAGAATAAAAAGCAGTATGCAATTAAAAAACCATAAAATGAAATTTAAGTGTCAATATCCCTATAGTCTGTTTTTTAATCCTAGAGACCACACTAACATTACATGGGTTGCTACTTTTTTATTAAATCTATTTAATCAAGTTATCGTTTTTTGTAATGAATTATCCTAAATAAATTTGTAGGTAGGAAGGTTTAAAACGTACCTCATCAACATCACATCAACAGCCTATACTAGTCCACTGCTGGACATAGGCCTCTCCTTAGAAAGGAGGTTTTGGCCTACTATACCACGCTGGCCAGACGGGTTGGTATAGGGTTTGTTTCAAGTTTTCCTTCTCTTTGCAGTGCTGTTGTCCTGCTTAGTTTGCTCCCTTAGTCGGCTCTTACGACACCCACGGGATGAATTGGGGTGGTGACAATTTGTATTCTTAATCCGTCACCACACGGACTAATAATACAAAACGTACCGTAAAACGTACCTAATAATACAAAATTAATAATTTGAAACAAATATTTTTAATTACTGAATCAATTACAGGTATTCATTACATTACATATAAAGGTTCATAATTCTGCAACTCATAGTATAGGTCTGCGCTAATACAGAGTTACCACTTTCGGTTGCCATATCAATAAAACACGCTTTAAAAAATACTTATATCTTTATTCTTGTACGATAATTTGTAACTGTTTTTTTCTTTCTGCAATTTACTAAAAAAATAAGATGATTATCTTTAAACATTTGGTAAAGTTAATCGTCTAATAAAGACAAAAATTACGAATTAACAAACCTTTATCGGTGGTACACTACTGCACCAAAGAGCTGGTATCAATATTTCTAAATTTGATATTTGCATGTCATGTCATGTCAATTGGGTCTCTGAGATTAGAAAACAGGCTATGGAAGGGTTTTTTTTTTAATTTTCATTGATATTCAACATTATATAAAATCATAAGAATACTCGTAGGTGATTAATCTTTAATGATGTTGTTGCTATCAAATTAAATAAAATACGTAGGTTGATTGATTGTGAACATGCGATAACTAAATATTTAATGAAAAAAGAAACACATAGCATACTACTTATAAATGAGCATTGCAAAGGATTGATCTGACAATAGATTTAAAATCATAATAACCATGACAATGTTTTTTTTTTGTTTGTATAGACAACTCCCGCATTAGTAATATATGTAAATTCCTGTGTCGCAGGAGACTTTACAAACACACATGAAACGGATACAAAGACCACCCAGACTCAGAAAGACAATTTGTGGATCACACAAAGTGTCGTCCCATGTAGGGATCGAACCCACAACACTCAGCGCAGTAGGAAGCGGAGTGGCGACCGCTTAAACCACTAAGCCATCCGTGCAGTCAATTTTACCGTGTTCAATTTAACCATCAAACAGATCAGCAAAGTGAATTCAACGGTTAAAAATTACAGATTTATAAAATTGTAACTGAACCAACGAAGTTAATTAAAAGCAGAGACGTTACGTAAGTGGCTGAAAACTATTTTGCTCATTTTCCTCTTCTAACAATTTTTATTTGCTCTGTTATTTTAATCATAATCCAGTGAATTAAGATCGGAGCTCGATGACTACTATATTCCATCTAATCTAAGAGGTGGAATGAAACATCTAAGAGGTGGATGATGTTTCATACTTTTCAAGACGAAACAACTTTGTATAGCGTAATTGACACAATTTCGATAACTTTTACTGTAAAACCATGGAATTGTGAAGCAATTTTTATTTTATCGCAAGATGTACAATTCCTAATGACTAAATTTAAATTTGAATCTTTGAAACAAAGCGAAATAACTAATTTAATCACAACAGATGTTTTTTTTTAAACATCGTTTTAAGGTCACGTAGTTACGTAGGTCCTTTACCATAGAGACGCGTGTTCACTTGAATACTAATAATCGTTAAAATTTACGAAAAATCGAATTTATAAATAACGAGTCATTTTCAGTCCAGGCGTCTTAGTATTTAATAACACTTAAAATTCATCTGACATCCAACGTCAACGAAAATTTCTATTTTTTTATTTTATCTGGATACACTTGTGCCGATGTTTTGACACGTTTTTTACACAAGTATAGCTTCAGTCACTGCTTGACAGCTAACACCCTACCAAACCACCACTGAAGTCAGATAATGCCCACGTTGTACTCTACTAATTGGGTAGCTTCTATAGAACTTTGAGCGTAAACTCCGTCATTCTGCTTGTTAAAATATTGCCCAATACTCAAAAATTCACTTCAGTAAATATTTCTTTCTGTGACCTGTTACGTGTTACGCTCAATTGTGCATGCTCAATTATAATTATATATATGGATATATATATCCATAACAATTATAATTTATACCTACGTCTGAATTGAATCATAATAGCGAATGACAAATATATTTTATATCGATTTAAAACGTATTCCTCTTTCGTAACAGAACATGCATTTCAAGGGATAAAATAAGTTTCGAGAATGCTAGACTGTAATACTGAGGATTCTTCTGTCTGTGTCGATTTGACAAACCTTAGTAGGTGTATGTGTTTTGATCTATAATAATTCAAATAATACAGTCCAAATATTAGGTCTTTACCTATGAAATTGCCGTTTCGTATGCAATAAGTGAAAGTACTTATTTTTTCAAACTTTTTATTTCTGTTATTCGAAGTAATCACCCATGCAATCGACGCATCTTTGCCAACGCATTGGCAGTTTATTGATGCCCTTCTTGTAAAAATTCAACAGGCAACAAACTCTTCAAAGGCATTTTGTACTGCCTCTCGGGAATTGATTTTTTTACCCACTAAAAAGTTGTCTAAATTTTGGAAAAAGTAACAGTCGGTAGGTGCAAGGTCTGGTGGTCACATCAGTCCACAAGTCATCTTAAATATATACATTTACAGGAGAAACCCGTATCTCTTGTGTGCCCTAGTTTAATCATCCATGTGTCGAAAATAGTCTACGCAGTCATTATGAATAGTAAAATTTTAACGTTATATTTATTTTTCATGAAACCCCAATGTTTACAACGCAACTATATTTATTGCTCTATTTATCAAATCTTCCAAATATCGCGCCAATATTATATTTCCTTTTTTATTTACATTCTCCAGTCTCTGTTCCTCCTCTTATCTTTCCAATAAAAGTGAGTTATCATCGACCACTGCTCCGGAAACGAACTACATATTTCAAAGAGATTGTCTAATTTAAAACTGTTCCTAGAATGTTAATTTATCCAAGTCTTCGTATTTTTAAGTCTGCTAAAGGATTAGAAGCGGGGAAAATATCTACTTATTTGAGTTTTGCATTTGATTCAGACAGATCGTAATATCTTTTGAATAAATTTGTCTTTCTGGTAATGTATAAATAAGAAATCCAATTGATAATAACTTATTTGTTTCAATATGTTAAATTTTATGATAAACTGTTTTTTTTTCGAATTACTTGCCTGTGACATTTTTTCGTGAAGACTACGGTTTGGAGTTTTTTGCAAATTTAGCTGTTAATGTCGGGCAGACGATCCAAAACAAAATTAATAGATGTTAAGTAGGCACTTAATTTCGTCTCAGATCACGTTATAGGTAAGTATTTGGAAGCTCCCATGCATAAATTTTACCAAGACAACCACCAATGGAGAGCCATTTACTAGCATAATTAAATGTAGAAATGTTTGGGTTAATTTATTGAAAAAAATAAAACAGGAGACCCGAGTGCGCAAAAATACATGTTTAAATTTTAAAAACGCTAAAATCCATCAAGCCCTTTATATTACAGAGCGTGGCAAAGAAATATACACACATGCATATACACTTGAAAAAACATGACAGTCGGGTTAAACAGAATTGATATAGCAATCATGTCTTCATCATAACAAAAGATTTAAGTTATAATTAAAAATATCTATATGATTAAACTAAAAATCTAAATGTATCCCATACAAAAAAAGAAATGTTTAAAATCCAATATTACGCATTTCTGATTAAAAACCTGCAGCACTGCCATTACTTCTGATATCGAAGGCACCCTCCATCATACCATTGGGATGTCTAACCAGTGCCCCTGCTTGACCAACGCTTTCACTATAATCTGGCAACATCACGATCTTGTGACCTCTGTCCCTCAAATAGTTTATAGTTTCTGCACTAAACCGGGATTCCAATTTTAAAGTATCATCAGTCTCTCCAGAAATTCTGCCATAGACCCATCTAGGTGCCGTTATAGAGGTTTGTAAATCGATACCCTGAACCACATATCTATGAAAGATAGCTGCTTGAGTTTGAGATTGACCATCACCGCCTCTAGTGCCATAAATTAGAATACGTCCATCTTGTAAACGCGCTGCAGCAGGATTCAAAGTATGAAAAGGTTTCTTTCCAGGTTTTATAGACAATATATGATCCTTTTCTAAAGTAAAAGATACACCCCTGTTGTGCCACAATATACCTGTTTTCGGCAGAACCATACCGCTTCCACAGTTGTGATAAATACTTTGAATAAAGGATACTGAAAACCCTTTATTATCCATTGCTCCCATCCAAACTGTATCTCCAGGACCTTTCCCTTGTCCAACGCTCGAAGCATGATCCAAATTAACCTTTTTTGCAATTTTAAGCAACATTTGTTGTGATATCAATGATTTAGGATCAACGCGCATATAGCAAGGGTCAGTTATGTAGTGATCGCGCATCTGAAAAGCTTGTTTTGTTGCTTCAACTGTAGTGTGAATAAATTGACCCTCATATTGACCATCAATTCCTAACTTATCTAAAACTCCAAGTATAGCCATCGAAACTAGACCTTGTGTCGGTGGAGGAGTGTTGAATATCTCGCCGCAATTATGCAATAATCGTAACGGAACTTTCCTAACTGGAGAGTAGTTTTCAAGATCTGATCCCGTGATAGGCAACCCTAATGATGCCATATCTTCGGCAATCAATTTTGCCAACTCGCCATTATAGTAACTGTTCAGACCATTTCCAGCTAGTAACTTCAGAGTTTCAGCGAGTTGCTTTTGATAAACCCTTTCTCCAACATCCGGTATTCTTCCGCCTGGAAAAAATACATCTGAAAACTCTTTTGAGACATTCGCTGTACTTTGAAATTTCTTGAAATTTTGATGATTGCAATTAGTCATTGGATAACCATCTTCAGCGTACCTTATAGAGTCGGCTAATAATTTAGAAATAGAGATTCTTTGATATCCACATTCAGAAACATATTTCAAAGCTTCTTCCCAGCCTCCTACGGTTCCCGATACTGTTATGGCAGATTTAGCGCCTCTGTAAGGTATTTTATCTAAACCCGAAAAGAATTCTGGTGTAGCTAATGACCCAAGAGTACCGCAGGCCTCAATAACAAAAGGTTCTTCGTGAGGAGGTATGATAAGCCAATACCCGTCCCCACCAATGCTATTCATATGGGGATAGATCACTGCTATTGTGGCTGCAGCAGAAACCATAGCTTCCATAGCAGTTCCACCTTCTTTGAGAATTGCAAGAGCGCTCTGAGTTGCTAAGTGATGAGGCGTCACAACCATACCTTCTGGGGCAATGTTGGATTGCATTGTATTTTTAAAATGAAATTCTGTTTTATTGAAAATAGATTATTTGCTGTTACTTAGTATAGTTACGTTGAGATTATTCTCTGTAAAAGACAAAAAAATCCGTTGTTAACAATATTAAAAATGAAGCCGTACCTAAAAATAATAACCATATTTGTCTGAAACTTAGTCAGTAGTTAAGTTTTGTGTTCAACTACTGCTTAGAGTGGTGTTTAATTTGTACCCTCAGTCCACATAATCTTAGAGACTTAGAATCCTACGAGCACAAAAATATAAGTCATGCAGTACACAATTACAAAAATCAATAATGATTAAGCTCTTGTCAGTTATTTGTATGTATTGAAAACCTTTCCAATCTGTAGAGAAGGTTTTGAACGCCGATATGCATTAACAGGCAACATTTACACCCTCTTGTAAAAAACTGCTATTAGCACAAAAATCGTAGGCATGGACGTCTGTAATATAAATTTTAATGTCCTGATAGCTGTAAGCCTTGCCCTCGTAAATAGCAACAGGGTTATTACAAAATTATACCCCTAGGATACACGACGCCATAAAACGATGTCGATACTCTCATATAATACATTGTAATAAAGATTAGAACGACGTAATAGATTGCTGCATCTGTATTAATATGCCTTCGGGGTGCAATACTTTCCGATTTGCTTGTATGTGTGTGTATGTGTGATAAGTTGTACCATATTCGTTTTTCGTGAACGTATGGTTTCTTTTCTGAAGGAGTCTAAGAACCCTATTGATGAAATTTTATTATTTTTCTATCTAAACTCTGCTTTGTATACTATTTTTTTTGTATATTGCTATATTTTTAGTGATAAAAAGTACAATGGCAGCCAATGTAGGTACCTACCTGTCTATCAGTCTGCATATCAAATCTCCGCGTGTTAATAGCTACAGAGAGAGAGACATGACGCGTATGATTTTTAAATAATTAGGTGAGGAATAAAATGAGATTAGTCTTGGTTTTCTACAACCCATTAGTTTCGAGTAATTTTTTCTTTAACTCTTTCTTTGCTCTCTGCTTTTAACACCTAGCTGTAGTTCATTAGCAAATCAACTTTTTTGTGTATTTATTATTTTTTTGAAAATTCCGTTAATACCGTAACTTTTTTCAAATAGCATTAGGAACTTCGTTCCTATCGGGTGTTCCAGGGCACCATACGCCTTATTATTTAGTAGTACGGTATTCTACATCACATCACATCATCAACAGCCTATAACAGTAAACTGGTGGACATGAGCCTCTCTTTAGAAAGGAGGTTTTGGCCCTAGGGTTTATTCTACATAGCAGGTTTTAATGCTCTTTTTTTAAGTCTTCTAGTATATTTTACTTTACGTTGGCAATACAGTAAGTTATTAGTAAAATAGTTTTATTAAAATTTAACACATTTTTTTTTATGTTAGAGGGCAGACGAGCAGACGGGTCACCTGATGGAAAGTGACCATCGCCGCCTATGAACGTCTGCAACTCAGGAGTTATAAACGCGTTGCCGGCCTTTTAGGAAGGAGTACGCTCTTTTCTTGAAGGTTTGAAGGTCGTATCGGTCTAGAAATACCGCAGACGATAACTCGTTCCACAGATTGGTTGTGCGGGGCAAAAAGTATCTCGAAAAGCGTACAGTAGTGGAGCGCCAACTATCCAGTTGAGAAGGATGAAAATTTTGCCGTGTGGAACGATGGCGGCAAGTTGCGGCTGGTATTAGTCCGAACAATTCCTCGGAGCACTCTCCATAATATATGCGATAGAGAATACAGAGTGAAGCCGCATCTCTACGTAACGCCAGAGTATCGAGCCGATCGAAGATGTTTGGGCTATCGACGATTCGAGTCGCTCTTCGTTGGATGAAGCTAGTACTGAGAAGCTAGTACTGAGGTGCCCCTGCATAGAGATGAAAGCAGTATTCCATATGCGGCCGGAATTGCGCCTTAAAGAGCTGAAGGCGGTGGGCCGGAGTGAAATAATGCCTCGATCGGTTCAGCACACCGAGTTTCTTCGAGGCCAATTTGACTTTACCCTCTGGACCCCGCAACTGGACTTCGCTCGATATGTCGCTGCTGTTGTCCTGCGTAGTCAGTACGGGCGTATTACGGACTTAATTTAATATAATCTAACATATTACTGTTTGATAATGCAATGCAGTGCAATGTTTGGAAATGTTTAGAATATCGTATCTACTCATTAGGAATTGTATCTTTACTTTAAAATGGTAAAATAAATCCTTTTATAAAAAGTTAAACCGACCTCAAACAATACTACCAAAAAGTACTAAAGAAATACAAATCTAATTGAAAAAACTAAAAGAAGTGCGTCCCTAAATATAACAGGTATTATTATAATAGCAATAGATACCTTCTAGCCTGTTTGAAGCCTGATATACAATAAGTAATACTGAGACTAACACTCGGGCACGCCGTCATCGCGGCGGTAAGACCCGTTATGGAGGATTGGCTCGAGAGGCGTCACGGGACCCTCTCATACCGACTGACGCAGGTGATCACTGGGAAAGGATGTTTCGGGGATCACCTGTGTCTGATCCGCAAGGAGCCAACGCCTGAGTGCCACTACTGCGATGGCCAGACCGTGGACACGTCTCTCCACACGCTGGCAGAGTGCCCGGCGTGGGTTGAGCAGAGGCGAGACCTCGTGGCTGCCATCGGAGTGGGAGTTCTCACGCTCGATAGCCTGATTGCGGCTATTGTGCGGAGCGAGAGTCCGTGGAACTCTGCCGTCTCCTTCTGCGAGCAAGTTATGCTCGCGAAGGAAACGGCGGAGCGGGACCGGGAGAGGTTTAGAACTCTCCCGGCCCGCCAGGCCTAAGCAGGCATAAGCGCAGGCCTGGGGGTGACAGGTGAGGCCATCTGTCGCCCTAGCAGAAGCAGGCCGAAGCGCGCTTGCTTCCAGGGAGCAGAGGCAACATGGGGTTCTCACACGGGGGGGTCGTCTACTCGTCTGTAGATGGCCCAAGGTATGTCGGGGCACCAGGGACTTCCTTTCTAGGGTATACCTGGTTCCCCGGCTATAAGTACCCGAGATGGCGTGCGGTTTTAATCGGTTCGAGTCCGACATGCCATCGATAGGTGGTATCCAGGGGATTTCCGCACGAAAAAAAAAAAGGGTAAGTAACACTTAGTAATACGGAGTTATTAGCTTTATATCAGCTCAATAAAGAATTAAAAAAGCAATATAATTCTAATGAAAATATGAATGTTAATATATATATAATAATAATATAATTTGAGTTGTCCGTAACCCACTGTGGCTAGTTTAGCATGTTTTGCACAGCATAAAGACCCTCATACCCGTTACGCTACTTTGTACCTAGCCCCCATCCAGTATCTATTTGACTTGGCACCGACTTCAAACAGACTAGAAGGTATCTATTGTTATTATAGTGTTAGCTATTATATTGAGGGTCGCACTTAATTTTATTATTTTCAATTACATTTGTAATCGTCTGTTTAACTTTTTTTATAAATGGATTTATATATTTTTTAAGACCATTTATGTACATTATCGAACTCAATACATGATTGAGTATTAACTACGAAATAATAAAAAAAACGTTTTGCCTAAACTATAAGTTACGATAATCGCAATAGTGATGGTTGTAAATTATTTATGAATATTTACTTCCAACTGTCTCCACATCACAAATTCCATATGAAATATATAAAATGACCGAATTAGGTCATCCCTACATCTAAAGCGATAGTCAAACCATAAACCATACTGAACCCTTCCCGATCTCAAGACGCATAAAATATGTTTTAGAACCGTATCCAACCCGAACATATTGCCGGTCAACAAGCCGGCAAGATATTGAAAGTGAAGTTTTTTTCATGCATTGAAGGGTTTTTAAGGGTGGATTGTGACGATAGAATTATCTTAGACGGGTGATAAGTCATGTTACACTTATGAGTGTGTTTGGCACTTTGCCCATTCTTTCACCATGTTTATTAGCTCGTTTACTTACTTGCATGCTTATTTGTTTGGTGACCTTTGGGTACTGCTACTTTCTCGCAATCAATTGTAGAAACTATCTTTGTTATGAAATACGAAAACATTAACATTACAAACATTATATTATGTGAAACATACAGTGTATTTTTACTTTTTTTCAATTGTGTAAATTAAATTTCAAGTGGCTAATTTTGAAATTGAATGAATGAATCGATGAATACAAAGAAATCCAGTCCGAAAACAAAATATTTTTTAGAAAAACACATTTAATGCACCCAAATACTAAACTTGTAAATGCATTTTGAATTGTAATATAGGAATACGTTACTTAACTATGTTAGGAGCTTATACTCAAAGTAATCTTTATTTAGCCTCTAATTAAAAAGGAAGTTTTACAATACAAAAATTACAGTCTGCAAATCTATACAAATAAATAAAATTTAAGTGTATGTTTGTAATGTCAAAATAATAGGTTTTTTATGCTTACATGGTTATTTGCACTATACCTATGCCTAAAAACCAGTTTAAATACTTTTGTATGTTTGTCTGTTTCTCTGTTCATTCCGGGTAATCTTCAAAACGGCTGAACCGATTTTGATAATATTTTACTACCAAGTAACTGTCTATATAAGGAGTGACTTAGGCTGTTTTTTCTCTCAGAAGAACCCTATAAAATTTAGCCTGGTCCGGGAATCAAACTCACTGAGCCAGCGCTTTTCAAATTTCACGCGAACGAAGTCGCGGGCACCAGCTAGTATTTAAATAAGCATGATTATCCAGAGCAATACTCATACATTTAGCGAAACTTATAGTCAGTGTGATACATCGTTGATATAAGCTGGCATCGGTGATTCTTCTATACAAGTACCGCTTAATTCAGTTTACTGTCCCAGACTTAATCCACTTAATGACTTATGGTCTTTTGAGAGCCTATATCAAGCTATTCAAGCAAAGATAACTTTGAAAACCTAAAATTACAAGTTAAAGTTAAAGTTAAATTTTACAAGATATGTTGTGAATTTCG